CGTAGTAATCCTATGACTAGGAATATTTAAGAGTTAAGTACTAAGTAGTATACGTCTCCTCTTCTTAACTCCTTGAGAAACTATCTTCTTAACTTATACTTTATGGACTATATCATATATATTAAAATAAAATTAGCCAGTAACATGATAAATAAGCTTGCCCTTTTATTTAATTAAGTAATGAATATTGCTAGTACAATCCCAAAATGTCATCTATACGATTGGTCTTAGGGCGTAATACTAACAGAATGATCACGTGTCAAACTCTAGTCAGGTAGCCTCCAATGTCCCGTCAAATTATAACATGCACAATTAGGTGAGAAACGATGGCCGTGGGTTAGGAATTGATGTATGAAATAATTTTTGTTGGAATAAAAAATGTGTGCAACTATTCAGAAAGCTATTTGTGGTTGATTTGAGCTTGGCCACACCTTTTCTCAAACTCTGGGTGAGGTTTTCGGTAGTTGTGGTACCTAAAAAAAAAATCGAAGACTGGAATGGTGCTCTAGGGGTCGACCCTCCAACACTCAAGTCAATATTTAGGAAATTAAGATGCAGTAATTGAATTGGACTCAGTGTGCTTATCTAAGTCATACCTCGAAGGTCCCTTTTTATATTATTTTGATAGGTGTTCTAGTGAGAGCGGATTCTAGGCTATTCTAGTAGTTTGCATTTGTCTGATCTCCTTTCAGTTAAGGAGTATTGGCTTCTGTAGACTTTCTTCTTTGTTGAGATAACCATCTAGAGTCCTAACTGTGCTAAGAGTTTGTTTGATCATGCAGATAAGGCTTGCCGAGGGTGGGATCTTATCCTTATCCCTTGGTTGTCTTATCTTCTTCACAATATTTAAACAAATCATGTCATTTCAACGAGTCTTTGGCAGATAAGGTTCCTATTTTAAAGTTGGGAATAAGCTTTGCCATTCTTTTGGTTTCCTCATCCCACCAGGTTGGAAAAAGTTGATTATCTGAGCTCATTATTCCTCCAACTATTCTTTCTATTTAACAAGTCAGTCAACGGTTGCATTTCTAAAGGTAGTGTCAACTAGGACCTTTCCTTCAGTAGAGATTAAATTTTCCCCCATCAGGTTCCCGTAATTAGGTTTCCCAAGCTAGTGGAGATTTTCTCCCGTTGAAAATATGACCGTTACCTTTCTCTGATTCTTGAAGCATATTAATTGTGCATCTCTTTAGATAAGGTAGCCAAGTTGTTGTAACTATCATCCCTTACCCTATTTAAAGGGCGGTTAGGGCCTTTGGATTGGCAAATTTTTCCTTCCCTCTTTGATCTCTCTCCTAAAAAATGAGCTATTTGTTCTCCTTTTTGGGTTTCTCAAGTCAAAAATACTTATCTATTTTCCCTTTCTTACTACTCTTACTTTCCATGGCTTCTCAAAAATCTTCATCAGAAATTTCCTCCTTCTTTACTTAAGAGGCAAGAATAGAAGAGGTTGGACTTGTGGAGGATATTCGAGAAGAGGTCTTTGAAACCCCTAGTTACTTTGCCTAGGGAGTCTCCAATACCATTACCGATGCTGATCTTTCCCGTCTTTACTCCAAATTTTGCATTTCTAATTTCATCTTATTGAGAGCTCCTGGTGGTGATGAAATAGCTTGCAATTATCATGGAGGGGAGGTCTGTATGTATGAAACAACCTTCAATTATGGATTCAGATTTCTTTTTCTTCCTTATGTTCGCAAATTCTTGTCTTTCTTGAACATTGTTCCTGCCCAACTCACCCTAAATAGTTGCAGGGTGTTAATTGAGTTTGGTGCCTTATGGAGCTCTGTCCATGGTGTTGACTTTTTCTCACTGTTTGGTGGTGGGGTGACAGTAATGGTGGGGTGACGGTGGTGGTGGGATAACAGTGGTAGTGGTAGTGGTGATGGTGGTGGGGGCGATGGGGGTGGTGGTGGTGAGTAGTTCAAAACACTATTTTTTTAAAAAAAAATATTTATGAGAAATTATAAGTCTTATAAACACTTTTAAAAAGTTATCCAGACCAAGCACACCCTTAGAAATCTCAATCGCGAATAGTAAAAATCATTTTATTATATAGTATATCTATATAATAAAATAACTTACAATTCAAATTTCAAAAGATAAACAAAATGACTTTTGTTTTTAAAAAAATAGTATTTGGAAACGCCCCACCACTATAACCACTACAACCACAACTACCCCCACCACCACTACCACCTTCGCCGCCGCCACCTACACTGTCGCCACCCTACCACACCCACCACCCAACCACCATCCCCACTACCACCACCCACCACACCGCCGCCTCCACCTCCACCTACACCTCCACCGCCCCACTACCACCACCACTGTTGCCACACCCTAACTCCATTGCCATCCCACCACTACCATTGTCGCCAACACACCATCGTCGTTGTCTGCATCACTGTCGCCACCACCCTCCGTCACCACCACCATCGCCACTACCCCTCCTCAGCCCCCTGTCATCGCCACCCACCACCGATTGTTACCACCGCCACCACCCACCACTCATCATCATCGTCATCTTATTTTTATATTTATTACCATTACCACTATCATCCCACACCTACCGTCAGCACCCACCATCACCATTGTTGTTCACCGTCACCCACTACTACAACTCACCACCATCCGTCGTCGCTCACCATCACCACCAACTACTATCACCCCCCCCCCCAACCACACCTACCACCGCCACCACCCACCACTACAACCACCCACTACCACCATCGTCACCGCCCATCACCACTGTCGTTGCCCCACCACCGCCACTGCTAACTACCATCACCGTCGTCCACCACCACCCACACCCACCACCACTACCACTATCACCCACGACTGTCACTACCACCATCATCATCGTTGTCATCCACGACTGTCACCACCACCATCACGATGGTCGCCACCCACCACAACCATCACCATCTCCATCCACCATCACTACCACCGCTCACTCCCATTATAATTGGTGTTTAAATTTATTTTTCTCTCCTCTATGTTTGTGATTTAATTTTGAGTGTGAATACAAATATATTTATTATTGATCATTTTTATTATTATTCCGTGCCTTCAGGAACATGAAACAGCAATCCATATATCCTTCCATCCATCTGAAAACATGGTGGTTTGTTTTAGTTCTCTCAATGGCAGCGTCATCTTTTAATTTATCTGCTGCAGCTATTTCATACACCACCCCTCTTTCGTTGAGATATCCACCCAACTGCAACTAGCCCACACTGTTAGCAAAAACACTACCAACTACACTTTCTGTGAGGAGGCTCTTTATTCCGACCCACGTCCCCCCCACCGCAGATCGATATGTACTTGCCTACATAGCTTTTGACTTGGCTTATGTGAACGCCACCCATACCAACGATTACATAGGCTCGCTGCTTAAGAATGTCGCAACAACAAATCATAGTAAGCGGCCAGAGCTAGCCCGTCAACTCCAAAGATGCCACGGCTTTTATGGGCAGGCCGTTCAAGTTCCTGCAGAAGCCCTCAATGATTTGGACTCTGAGACTTACTTCAATTTGGGTCTTTTGGCTGTTGCCGCTGATCATTCTGCCCGTGATTGTGAAGTCACTTTCAATGCTCACTCTTCACTGTCCCGGATGAATCAAAACTTGAGGAACCTTTCCAAAATTTGTCTCGTCGTCTCTAAACTCTTAACAATATCTTGATGTGTGTGAAAAGCCAGATTTTTAATTATATCTGTTCCTTGAAGACTGCCGAGAGCTTTGGATTTAATTCCAGCATCTTCAATTTTGTTTCTGTGTACTTTTTTTTTTTTTCCGGTGGTTGGATAGGATGGAGATTATGGTTCTCTTGGTAAGCCCGGTCCCCAAGTACAAGTATCACGTGCAAATCATCAATAACAAATAAGCCTAGTGAATTTCACTCAATTTTGATTCCACTCAATTTGATATGCGGTGATTTTTAAAAATTGTACGTAATTGAAATAATGGAATGTTCACTTTAACAGAGGAGTATTTCAAGTGGTAATTAAGACAAATTATAAACTCAAACATCTTTAATTCAAATGTTGGCAATCACATAAAGTCAAAAATATAAAAAATTATTCCTCATGAATGTCCTAATCTCGGCATGAATACTCTATCTTTAACCGAACAAAAAAAAAATTAGTCAAAGTACACATACACTGACCCGAATATCTCTTTACATTTGCCAGCCACAAAACAAAAGAGTCTTAATGTTGGTGCCAACAGTATGCTTTAAGCATGACAGTCCGGTTTCTAACATTTGGAAGATCTTACTTGTCCAAATTACTTTTGGAGAGCTTGTCTTGGCTGCCAACAAAAAGAAAGAGAAGACATTAACCTTCTAAAAGAAGAAATTTGTCCATCAACTGCCGAGAACCAACTTTACTTCTAAGTTCCAAGAATTTCTTGGGATACTCTCTCCTAAGCAACCAAGGTTATAAGAGATCAAATGAGACATTTTTCTACATCCAATAAACCAGCAATCCGTAGCTCCTGTACTAAGTGTCATCTCCCACTTCGTTCTCTTGAAAACATCTCCAAATGTGGTTCATGCATTCGAGTGGTTTTGTAGCATAGGTTTTGAAGACCTAGTATTTTTAACAGGCAACAACCCAAGCCAGGCTACATTCACAGGGAAGTGTTCTGATCATTATTCCACTATGCTTGCTTCTCCTCCAATGTTAGTCATGGTATGGTAGTGTCACCTGCCCCATTTTGCCATGCACATCAGACCCAACTACCTTGCAACCTGAATACAACTTGCCCCCTTCGCTTCAACCAAATTGATCCCACTCTCCAGATCCTTGATGACTCCATGGCCAAACCATGTCAGAAATTGCACTTGGATAATACCCCTACAATTAATAATTGTTGTCATAAATTCATCCACTCCTAAGCGGTTTCTTATGACCCAACACTTCATGGGCTGTATCACGAAGCTAAAACTACAAAATAGAAGCACCCTTTATCGTTCATCAATAAAGTTCACAATCATTATTCATGGTGATAATCATATACAGAGAAATCATTATAGAGCAGAGAGCCATTTTCATAGTGGAGCATATAATAGCAAAGACCACAGAAATAACAAGGATGCTCTGTGGCCCACTTGTCATCTATTGTCACTTTTTCCGCTCTATAGATCTTGCAAACAGAGCACTTCCGGAAACGTAATTTTACTTGAAATGTGACTAATGGGTAAGCTGCCCGATTCTGTACATCCTCTGGATGAATCAACCTCATGTCCCTTATTACGATGATATGCTTGCAATCCCCCTTGTAACAAGTAGTAGTGGTCCAAGAAAACAAAAACAAAAACATCAGAGCAAGGCATCCACACGTAAAAAATGCATGACATGAATCCATATTCTGGAGAAAATCTTTATGCAACACAAAAACAAGGTGCTGGCATTAACTAGCATGAAAGCAAGTGATACAAATACCAAAAAAACAGAAAGCAAGTGATGGAAGGGAATACCTGGTGACAATAAAGATATCCAGCACCAAGTCGAAATTTTAGGTCACAAAAACGCATTTGGTGCATGTCAACAGCTTTAAATTTAGGCAACTGTGGTTCAGTGTCGCTGCCTAAAATTGACTTTTGCTTCTGTTGTAGTTCACCAGATACGATGCATTCCCATTTTTCAAGTGCTTCATTTTTAGAATTTTTGAGCCAATTAAGTATGGGCTCACTGTAGTCTATAGCAGAGGCCTCCCTCAAATCATTGCAAAAAAGATCCTAGAAGAGAAATAGCATTCAGTTGGAACAGCAACAAGCTATATTTCTTAAGGTAACAACAATTAAGTTCACGTAGAAATTTACTTCAATGAGGAAGTAACCAGAAGAATCATGCTGCCCTGCTTTTTTCATAACCTCATCTGTCAAGCAATATATCTTGTCTCTCAATTCAGTCAAGAATTGCCGTCCAAGAACCAAGAATTCTTGAGTCTATGAACAATTTCACAAAACCATCAATATCCGAAGGGGAACACAAGTCAATTTAAAGAACAATAGAAAATAAAACTTTTGCTAACCTACCAATAGCAGCACCCATGTGTCTGGAGTGTTTAATTTTCTTATGAGCTTAGATCTTTCTCTATTTTTGGTGGGAGTCGTGGGAACAATGATCAAAATTTCATTTTGGTGCATAATTTCAGTCATCGCAAAAACGGAAACATTTCGGAAATAAAATGGAATCAAAGAAAAATGGTGGAATTTTGGTTCTGAAAAATTCCAAAATACTGGAAAAAACATTCCAAATCATGCTAATTTTGATTTTCGAAAATTAATTCTTCTTCCCACCAAAACCAAAATATTGTGGTGGAAACGATTGAAACAAATCAAAATTTTGATCCTGGATTGAGGCAAAAGATGAAGACCAAAAACAATTTCCTCAGCGAAAAGACTTTATGAAATAATCTGTCCATGCACAATATCGAAGTGAATTGTTTTCCACATCATAGTAACAGCAAACATAAAGCATATTACTACATGCTCAGTTCCTAAAAAAAGGCAGATGGTCTGTTTCTTACTGTCTCAACAACACAGACCACACTCCGTACAATTACCCTGTGAAACGCAGACCACAAGCACATAATTGGCCACGCATAAATATAGCCACCCTCTCATAAAACTGCCAAGTGTTGATCATTAAAAATCTTAGGATTGATAAATATAGCCACATGCTCTCTTCTTTCTTTTACACATTACATTCTTTTTTGTCATTTCTATGATGAGGGTATACTAATTGTTAACCTTGTTAGTTGGTTCAATTTAATCCCCAGGGAGCTAAGCTTTTTTTCTCGTGGGGTTTTCACTTCCCAAAGTATATGAAGGTGAAATGTCACGGGCTCAAACCACGATGTAAAATTTAATTTATCCATTATTATATAAGATTTAACTGTAAATTGTCTTGTACTTATTTGACTATAACTATTAATACCACAAATTAGAAAGGGAAAACTGTCTCAAAAGGAACATAAACTCTTGTAAACTGTTGCAAAAATGTAAAAGAGCAAATTGGATAAAGCAATGTGTTCGTCATAAATTGGGAGATGAATTAACACAAAGTATGAACAATGGCAAGCCCCCATATACTCCAGCATTTGGTCTACCCAACACCTATAAAGCATGAACAGCCCTTAAGAAGGTAACGTATTCGTGTCAGACAATAACATTCTTTGGACACTCTCAAACCCGTGTCCAATACTCTTTTATCCGTGTCTATAATTAAATAATAAATTTTATTTTCGGACACGTGTCCGACACTTTTTAAACCATGCCCACTACTACTAAACAATAAACATACGTTGACAAATGATTAAGAAAGGTTAAAATTTTGATTATAAATATCTTATATTCAAGGATCAAAATTTTGTTTCAGTATATTGTTTCAGTTACCTAGGAAACGAAAATGTTTCGATATATTTCAAAAATGTTTCCACCCTTTTCGAAAACATAATGAAAAAAATAAAAAATTTAAGAATTATTTTTTTAAAACATTGATTTAAATATATCGAAGTAAATTGAAATATCTTGAAACATTCCGAAACAATTGTGCAAATGCATTGAAATATTATAATACATCTCGAAACATTATGAAATATCTTGAAATATTAGAATTTCGATTCCATCACTGATTCATTTTGGTCTCCTTGAAAACGAAAATGTTTCAGATATTTCGACTGTTTTGAAACAATAATTTGATCCTTACTTATATTATATATATAATTATCTAAACTAGATATGTTAAAGTTGTACTCAAAATATAATAACAAAAGCAAAAGATGCATAAAAGTTTAAAAAACGAAAAATTGAGAAAACAATAACAATCATTTTTTTTCGTATAGTGTGCATGTATTCTCTTCTTCCCCAAATTTCTAATTTGTTGATTAAATTCCAATTAGTCATACTTTCTTGACATTCAAACTTATAAAAGGAATTTATGAAGAAAAAAAAATCTTTCGATTTTTTAAAATATAAAGATTAATGCTATTTGGTGGCATAATGATGCGAGATTAAATGTTTCCAATATTACTATCCTAATGATACCAAAGGAGATACCATGGTGAAAGATGAAACAATTTAGGTCAAGTTACTGCTTTTCAAGTTCGAGTAATAACTCAAAAATGATTGACCACGAAAAATACATGTTTCAAAGGTAAAGGAAAACATTTTAAAGGCTATTTGTGATCGTAATAACAGCTTAATTATGATCTATTACAATATCTATAATGGATCTCGACATTTATAATTGATCGAATAATCTCAAAGAGTTATAACTTATTTATTAAAAGTTGTAACTTAGCATTTAAATTTTTAATTTTCAGTACAATCTCTTTTTGACATCATAGATTTACCATTATTCTAATTGCAACTCTTAGAATTTTTTATTAAACTACATCACTTAATACATTTTTAGGTCAAAGTTTTCAAATATCAAAAGTATTATTCAAATATAAAGGTAGTGATAAATTTTAAAAATATTTTAGTAGGAGAAAATTTTAAAAACCTTAAATTTTTTAAAATTTCAAACATACTTAAAAAAATTTTAGGATTGCACTAAGGATAGTTGCCCCCACTACCCCCAGTGTAAATCTGCCCGTCTCCCATCATCATACTTCCTAGCAGCATGGCCCCCAATATAATTACACCCATAAATAGCATGTTTAGATATAGTTCTAAAAAGTAAAGCTTTTATCTCGTAGTTGTTATTGCTTCCTCAAGAGAAAATCACTTCATCTTCACCATTTGTCTCCTGTCTTACCAATAGATTTCATCTATAATCGGGTAAAAATAAAAATCAGTTCTTTGATGAAATGGTATAGCACATTGAAATCTACTTTTGACATAGGACATGATTCAATGGCAACTTTCATAGTAGATATAAATTTGCTAAGTATATACGAGTCCATAAGGCACAAGTCTAGCTAGCACTCTTTAAATCTAAAGCATCCAAGGCAATAACCAGAAGTTAATAGAAAGTAAACAATAAAATGGTATCAAGTTCTACCATTGAACTAAGATGACAAAAATAATGCCATAATTTTATCCTGCAATAGAAAAACAGTGATCTACTGCTTGCCATAAAATCAAAAGATGAAATCCTCTGGTGTGGACTAATAAGAACCAAAAGTGATCAATACTGAAATGCACTTTTACCTTTGCTGATGTTCGTCTGTTGTGGTAAACCTCAACACAAAGAGAAACATCAGGATAAAGCAGCGGCACATGTTCACTTGTTTTTGATGACCTCACCTGATATGCATATGAGAGGTAATCAACCATTTGAACAGCCAAATTCGCCAAAGAAGATGATGGCATAATAAATTTTTGGGTGACAAATTAAGATGATCAAAAGCGACGGTTTGCCGATGAAAATGTTACTACAAGTTCTTTAATTATCTTCTATATTCGAACGTAGCAGGCAGAACACCCCCAAAATAATAAAATCCAAACAGGTTTCCAGCTTTCTGACATAAAGACAGGTATGGGGTCACTAATACAAAATGCAAGGAAACAACGATATGCCAATTGAAACAATTCATTGAAAAAAAGTGAAATTCGGATCTTCTGGAGTTCGAACTGTAGCAAACAAAGAACATTATGGTAATTACAAAGCATTGTCAATCCATCATTACATCGGTGTCAACATCCACATGGTATTCTTGTTGATTTCTTTCGAAATTAATCATCAACTACACGCTATTTAATGGTAATATGAAGGCCCTATCCTGGTAGCAAGAATCAGCAGACACATCATCATGCTACTAGTAACTGTCAAAAGCACATAAGCTAATAACATCAGAGCCTGATATAACATAACCCAAAACTTTAATAACTACAAAGTGTGTGGATGCCAAATAGATGCAAACCCTCCTGCAGCTAAAACCAGCTAAAATTCTAGAATATTGTTCAGACTTCAAAAGTCTTGAAGAGCTGAAAACAAAGGGCCCTCCTGTTTTTGGGGCACATTGGTTGATGACCAACCTCTTATCACATTTCCCTTCGCCTACATACCCCATCCAGTATACAAAGGAAATTGAGGTTTGTTCTAAAAGATAGATTCCAAAACTATTTGATCTAACATCCTTGCAGAGTTGCCAGAATAGAAGAACAGTCAAGAGCACTCGGAAGTTTGGAGAATATGCAATAAAATCAGATAGTTGCATTGCAGAGAATCATGGTTTATAATGCATCACAAGGAATATTAGATACAGCCAACAAGGTTAGGAATTTTTTCCGGTAAACCTTTGTTGAAGAACTTGTAGACTTGAGTGATGTCACCCTCTCATTTTTCTCTGAGAATATAGATGCACTTTCATTGATCCTGCAACTTCCACTGGACGAAGGTAAAACCCAGAGGTCATCATTATAGGACATTAATCTGCCACACTTACCCAATTCAGGTAGAGAGTGAAAAAGAGACGCTGATGACTGTGTACCATGCATGCGTTCAGGAAATACTTACTTGAATGAATGCAACCTCGCTGCTGCTTTATTTTCATCTTGTTTTTGTTTAATTCTTGCAAGTTGCTCCACCTTAGCAATATAACTTCCCTGAACATGCAAAGAGAGGATATAGTGAGGCAGCATTTAATAGTTTCAAAGACAGTGAATGGGTATAACCACAACTAGTTGACATATTTGCACAGAAGCTGACATATAACCACAACAACATTGATCAAAATTTTTTTAGCTTTTATTCTAATGCTGTAGGCAATAATCCAATGCTCAAACTATACAGCCAAAACATGTTAGTATAACACCTCAACTAGACAACTTAGCTCAACAAAGCCTTGTCACAACTATTTGGAGTCTGCTACATAAATCCTTTTTTGGCTGTGTGACCTATCAAGGATAATAGTTTTTGTTAAACCACAGACTATTATATCCTTTTTTATTTTCTCATTTAAAGTTAACTTCGGTATCCCTCTACGCCTCACATTAGTATCCATAGGTATCACATTACTGCTTCTCCCTAGTGGATCTTCTATAGACATGTTCAGATCACCTAGGTCGATTCTTTCTTAGTTTAACACCTAACAATCTAAAAATATAGAATAGCCCCACATAAATATGTCCACATCAAATAATCGAATTTCATGGTTAATTAAGGCATATATAAAACAGCGTAGGGCAAAAATTCTCCACCAAATACAAGTAGTTAAGGAAACATCAAAACCAAGTTATTTAGTTGACCCATATAAAAATTTCCACAATCACACACTAAAAGAAACCTAATTATACTAACTGACATCATAACTGAACAACACAAATAGAGATGCACACCCAAGCTAAGGAGCATACATTAAGGGTATGACTCTTCTGATTCATGCGTCTCTTTCTCTTCCTCTTCTTTAAGGTATCTTCACTCAATTCTTGATTATCACCAGTTCTAAGAGGAGAGCCATTTGAGGACACAATCGAAGTTGAACCATCCCTTTCTCTTTCTAAGCTTTCCAAACAAGCATGTTCATGGCTTGATATTCTGCTATCATCTTTTCTCCTGAAATTAGTATTAAAAAAACCAAATATGTTTGGAACTTTACAAGCAGTTAAACTGAAGGTGCATCACACAATGGAAATAGAAGTATTGGCGAAGAATAATGTCTGACAACTACAAAAAAAAAACGGTTTATAAAGTAACAAATGGTGAAGAGCATGACTACCAAAGTATGGGTTACAGATAGTGTTGCATACAGTAGCATATAGGAAGTACAAGCAATTCCGCATAGCAATACACCTCATCCTTTTAGTGTGGCTGAAACTTGAATATACTTGAATTAAATATGTAAGAGGATCCGCGCAACAATTTTTACTAAATACCACATCAATAGAACTAAGACATCCCAAGGATACAAAACTAACCTCACTATGCTTTTAATCCTTTTGTTCAGTTTTATTCCCCTAGAGCAAATGCCATCCCGCCCATCCCTACTATCTATTATATACAAAAATTCTACCAGACAAATGAAAATTCTTTTTTTTTTTTTTCATCAAAGACAAATGAAAATTCACTGGATGAAATTTGAAGGATCTATCACAGTAAATTCGATTCATCAGAGTGAGCCTGAAGCAAAAATGAAAACCTGATAAATTTTTTAATATATTTTCTATGAGACCTACCATCAGATTTTTAAAGGCACTCCTAAGTTTGTCAAAATCAAACCACAGGTTTTAGTTCAAAATATATGAAGTTCTGATCACTAGACCACAAACAGTTCCCATCTTAAAGTTTTTATACTCAAGAGTTTAAGAGTCAACTGATACACATTACTGTTCCAAAAAATTGTGAAGATAGTGATCAAAAAGTTAGGAAATATACATACCTACAGAGCAGGTGAGCAGCATATCCAAATTGTCCAATACACAAGAAGAAGAAAAAATGGATACAAGAGATTAAGCAGTTGTCTTATATTGCCAGAGTGACATTTCATGGCAGACATATATGTGCAAGAATTTCCCAATGCAGTAAATCCCTAAAATATCCAGGGAGTATAAACCACACAATGCTAATAAGTAGCTTAAAACGATGAGTAAAATTGCAAAATAACATAACAGAATCATATTTGCTAACCCTGCATTCACGTGCTCTTCTGGAACTTGTGAAGAATTTCCTACCTCACCATCCTGCAATCACCCCCCAAAAGTTTGTGATGCAAACCCCTAAGAAATACAAAAAGAATATAAGCCACGTACCTTGAATGCTTCCTTGAAAGCCTTATTTACCAACTCTTCCTCGGTAATAATTTTAAGCTCATCAACTCTGTGAGGCATAAAGGGTTAAACTTTATAGCATAAAAAGTTATAACAACCATACTCAAAGCATGCATACAGCAAGTAATCAACTGTAAAGGAGAGTAAACAATTGAAGTTTATGCTCGTCATAGGTTCATTGATTGAACACTTATTGGAGACTATAATTACATCAATTTTTTGGAGAGCGGGAGGGCGAGGGAGGTGGAGGGGGGGAGAGAGAGAGAGAGAGAGAAGCACAGAAGGATGAGATTTCTTTCAAAAAATAATACATTCAGAGGAATGAATTTATTTTTTTCAAATAACAAAAAGTAAAGCCAATACAAGAAAAACAAAAAAGCAAAGAAGCCCACCCCAACCTGATATAATTGAAGAGGTAAAGAGCCATCTAAGTAATCAATGCCTAGCACGCCCTTTTCAGTAAACAATTCACATCCTCATTAATCCATCAAAGGACCCAACTCACCTCCAGCCGGACCAGCCCAATAATGCATAAAAGTCTCCAACCTCACAGATCATATATCTGTGTTACAAAGGACCCAGACTTGTTGATCTAGCCCAACCAATGCCCAAAGAAGAGCACCGATCATCTAAGACATCAGAGAACTCCAACCCATTGCCAACGTTAAACCTTCTGGGCAAGCAAAAAATCTCAACTTTGATGGCCCAACATACAGCAGATAGAAATTAGATGAAACAAAATGGTTTACCCGCAAGCAAAAAGGTAAAACTTAAGTTTCCTTCGTAAACAAGGGTTCACCATCTCAAAAGTGGGATAGTCACTCATTAGAGATGCTCTTAATAACATGCACGTTCTAGCAATGAAGATGATGCAAACCAAGACAGTGGATGCAGCCGTGGCGTGATTAGAGTGGTAGTGATAAAATAAAACATTTTTTCATTCACCATCATGGAACTTTTTCTTTTTCCTCTGGTAGACATCATCCAAAGTTTCAAAATACCACTATAAACTTTTAGATTGGCAACTTATGATATTCTTCCACTTCAATTGCTTGCTCATAGCAGAAAAAACACATGTATTAGCAACTCAACAGTCCTCAATGGAAATATAATTGGTCCTCTTTTCATTATTTTGCAGGCAGCTTCAAAGGTGGTGTTTTGATTGGTTGCTTCCAAGGAAATAAGCTTAATATTCACTTCTCACTCATATCACAAACTGTAGACACCATGAGACATCCCTATACCCACATTTTTTTGGGGTATTCTTTTTCCATCAAACTGCATTTTTTGGTTTTCTTTTCAAAATTCATTGGAAGGTTCTCCGAGAAAGAGTTGAACAGAAAACTTACGAAATATCCTCACCGCAAGGTTCAAGCGAGTCTGAGGAAAGCTCCTCCACCTCCGCCTTGAGATCCTACATGAAACCAAAAGAAAGGCTATCAAATATTGGGTAAAAGGGCAAAAAAAAAGCATCTTAAACAGGCATAAATAAAGTTATATACATGTCGAATGTATAATTAATCACATTAGATGAGTTGCATACCCTACCTGAAGCTGATGAAACACAACAGACTCAAAGTCGGGAACTCGGGTGAGCGGACCCACCATGTCAGGGACGTATATAGGGCCACCACGAGGAATTGAAACGTAAGTGGCGTCTCCTCCATCTTCAACAATGCAAAACTCCAGCATCCCCATTGTTATATTCACAAACCTACAAGAAAAATTAGGGATTTGATATTTCTGTGAGATCTTCTGCCTCTCATTGAAATGTGTAAAATGCAGAGCCAAAGACTCCGGTCGGTGACTCAAACCTTCCTCCACTGATATGTTTTGGGTAAATTATTTTGATTAGATTTGGGTAAGTTTTTATGGAATAAGTAATATTATAATAGTAAACCTCATCACTGAGCTAGTTTGAGACACGTTTTAATTCTATTTTTAATTATATCTCTATAATGTTTCTCTATTTAACACCTAAAAATCATTAAATATTATATCTTACTATTAAACTTGAATGATACTTTCTTCATATAAAATACTAGAAATTATCCATACCAGAAGGCACTGCATTAAATAAAACAATAATTAGAAGACATACCAAATAGAAGAGTGTCAAATTAGATGACATACAAAATAGAAGAGAACTAATGACATTGTGGAATTTACATTTCATAACGTCACCATTCACTATTTCAACATTCAACCATTTATTCAGCAACATTACCATCAACAACATATTACATGAGTAATAATAAAAAAAAAAACAACAACAAATTACATGTAGCTAATACCAAATTTACTTTGCATCAGCCACCCAACTCAATCAAACACCAAAGTTATTTTCTTTTTACTCACTCAAACATCAACACAACTTTATTTTTTTCCCCTATATTGTCATGGCACCAAAACAGAACAGGTATAGATGCACACCCACAATCATAACTGTACGAATGCTAATTATAGAGATTTACTTCATAGATCAAAGACATATACAATTATTCTAATATGTCACATTCCTAATGCACAAAATTTCAAAAACAAAGAACATAAATCAACCCAAATAATTACAAGAAATTTGAAAAAATAATAAATTTAAAATTAAGTAATCCATTTGTGTGTGCACAACGGTGTCAATCTGCAAGATTCCCATGAATACACTCAACAGTCACAAACCCCTTCCTCCTATCACAAAATTAAAAATTCTCAATTTCACATCCTATCTCACAATGGTCAAAAGACATATAACAGCCAACCATTTAGGGTCATACAATGTATATTGCACATGTACAATAATACCAAAAAAATAAATAAATTCACAATATAAAAGGTATATTGCAATTTCGCAAACCATGATGTATATTGCATACATACAATCATACAACAAACATACAACACATGAAACTCACCCACCAATTTCCATATTGAAATAATATCAAAGAGCTAGAAAAAAATAATAATTATAAAATAAAATCAGTCTAAAACTAATTTCCTTGATTCCAACTCTGTCACTCCTTGTTGTCCACGCTGAAGGCCACTCAAATTAAGTTGTGTTGAAACTCACCGTTGCCTTGAAATTAACACGATGGACCAAACATTCTCAAATTCAATATAGTTATATAAAATCAGTGAGGAATACCAAAAAAAAAATTAGAGATAAACCAATAAGATTTAATTCACCCAAATCAAAAAATATCTAGGTGCAAGCAAAAAAAAAAAGACCCTGATGAGTTTTTCACAGTAAAATAAATCAAATATCTTGCATGTTACTCTCTATCAAAAACACAAGTCAAAATTTTTAAATGAAAAGAAAGGAGTACATGTGTGTTGTGCTTGCAGAATAGTTTTATCTCCCAATGATATTGTGTAGGGGATAAAATTCAACTTCCTATATGTTTTATTGTATAGATATGCTAAGGGTAATCCATACCCTTAGTATTTAAAAAAATCGAGCACTAAATTTGGGCACAAAATAATCAAGCATTGAACTCAAGTGGGTACTAAGTTGAAAACCAAAATTGCATCTTTTAACACACCCGCGCTTTACATATATCAATACACACCCGCACTTTACATATATCAATATCATGATTTACCATGAAGAAAACTTCCAACTTTTTGTAGTCCACCACTGTCAAAAATAACCCCACAACCACCTAGATAACAAAAATAATGTAGCAAAATCCAATCAAGCATAAAATTCCCTATTCAAGCACAAAAAATTCTCATAATCATAATTCCAATCAGTAATATTGTAGCAAAAATCAACACTAATTCCAATAATATAGGTAGTTAAAACAATCACTCAAAAGACAACTACTATGAATTCATAGGCAAAAACCTCGAATTATGATTTCTTCCGCATGATCTACTTGGAATAGCCCCCTCAAATGTCTGAGCAAACCCAAAAAAATCAATCATCATTTAGCAAATAGTAGTCAAAGATGGAGTTTAAATTGTATGTGTTTGAGAGAGCAAGAAGCAATGGGTGTTTGCGCAAAAGGGGAAGAAATTTTTTTTTTTTTTTTTTTTGGGGGGGGGATGCGCGTATGTATAGTGCAGGGTGTGTGTGTGTGTGTTTCCACAGAAAGGGGAGAATTGGGTGAGGGAGTTACCAACAAGGGAGAGAAAGGCAAAAAAGGTGGGGGTTTGCAGAGATGACGGAGGGAAATGTTAGGTTTGGGAGCGAAGGGGAGAGAATGGAGAAGGGTTTAACAGTGGTGTGGCGGCACAGGTCTGTGATGCAGTATTTATGAAGAACAAAAGAAATAAGAACAATAGTACAATGTATTCCAGTCCTAAATACTTTATGATAATGGGAAAGAATACATTAGCAGATGAAAAGTCACCCAATAAACCTCAACCTAATTAATCCAAGTCTTAGAAAATAAATTGATTTTTTGGACGTGTAACTATAAAAAAAACAACTACAAAAAATCTACAAAACACTAAAGAGACTGAAAATGTATTTACGCCTCTAGGATTCAAAAGTTTTGTTAGACTTAGAACCACCACAACAAATGAAAATAAACAAATCAAATCAATAACCATAAAGGAACTTTTTACTTCAGTTTAAATTCTTAAATTATGTCAATAGTTTAATTTTTTACTTTTGATGGATAGTTTTGCTAGCATATCAAGTGCACCGCATATTCGCCTAATTATTCAGAATCAAAAGATACACAATAAACAATTTAATGAATAGTTAATTAATAGAAACATGAATCTATTGTGTTAGATGCTCAAACAAACACAATATATTGTAAATTCAAATCCCATACAAAGGCCAATTTGAAAATCCTCAGTTCTAGGCATAAAAATCAAACTGAATTCACAAATCCAATCAAACCAAATCAAACCGAGTTCCCAAATTAAAATTGAATCTAATCAAACCAAGTTCACAAATCCAAATTGAACCTAATGGAGCCGAATTCAAATCGAACCTAATCAAAACAAATCCAAATTGAACCCAATTACACCAAATTCAAATTGAACATAATCAAACCAAGTTCATAATATCAAATTGAACAAAATCTAGTGCAACTATAGCAAACAAACAAAATATAGCAACTATAGCAACCATCATCAACTATATAGCAAACAAAATATGTTTCCCAAATTCAATGGAGCAATATTACAAAGACCTAGTGCAACTATAACAACCATCATCAATTCCAAAATAGTAATGCTATACTGACCAAATTTTGTGACCAAATTAAGAGCCCAAATGATATGGCAGCATATTATTTGTAGTCTTTACTGAGACCCAAATGATATGACATCAAATAAAGAAGCCCAAGTCAGTTGTCATGTCATTTGCGCTCTTAATTTGGTCCTAAAATTTGGCCAGTGTAGCATTACTGATTCCAAAATTAGTTCAAGCTCAATGTGAAACTCAAATCACCTTTCAACTTCCATTAGGTTCCATGGAAATTACATAACAAAAATCTCATTCAAAACAAAATCAAATAGCTGCAAAAGCAAAGACTAAAATAAATAGAAGTAACTATAAAATAAAATCAGTCCAAAGACTATGAATTGAAAATCTGCAATCAAACTTTTCTGATAGATACTACGTAGTTGTAATATAAAAGGGACAACTGGTAAAATTTAACCGTTGGAGTTTGGAAACATTAATAAAGTGCATTATGAAAACACAATTGATTAGGTATCTTAAATTAGAGTAGAAACCTTCAAAGGTCAGCAGCAAGGAATGTTCCAGGCCCCTTTTAATTGCCTTGAAAAAAATTTCATCATCAAAAGCTGAATGTGATAATGCTTAGACATCCATCTCTAGCTAAATGAGATAAGCATGCACTACAATCACATTCTATTTAGAATCTCAACTTATAAGTCAAACGATGCATTACAATCACACACTTAATTAAGGGATATCATAAACTAACACCAAGCAAATAAAATTACGGTTCAACTCATACTATATACAATGACAACACAAAAAGAAAGTGTTTACCCGAACTTGGCGAGCAATAGAGCCCATTAAGTGTTGTACCATTTGAAACAAAATTGAAGCCCCAATCCTTATAGCAACAATTGAAACAAAACCCACGAAAAGCCTATAAAAAGTAAAAACCACGAAGTAACTAAGTAATAATAACTATAAATATAAATCCAAATTTCTTACAAAGTACAATATAGCACCTTAAAATCAAAAACTACCATGAAATTCCAACAGAGTGACAATCGAATTCTAACGTTGGTATAACAAATTCAGCACATCAAGTGTCTATATATACACATATCCTCCTATTGAGCAACAGCCAACCTCAAATCCATGATTGCAACGAACGGGAAAAATTAATTGTTAATAGGCGATGCAAAATACAAAAAAATAGGGAAAAAACATATAATGCAAAAAAAAAAAGCATGAGGAAGACAAAAAAAATATTGTCTTCATAAATTTTTATGAAGCTTGGAGTTGTGACTGCAAATATTCAAGTAGGGCTAAAGCCGAACTCAGTCATACTCATGTATAACTACCACCATTCATTTCAACATTTTCTATCCAAACCATTTAGACAATGGTGCCCTTGTTATTGTAATATAATTGAGAAAAGTGAGTATTATGTGAAAATAAAGGTTCATATTATTTTCTAGATGGCAGTATGTACATTTCCTAGAGATTTGAGTGGTTCTTTTACACTATGATTGGTTTGCGTCTACATTTGTGATGTTTTAATCGAAGCTCCTGATA